ATAGTGGGCGAGATAAGATCAAAACAACTGGTATGTTAGGAGCATGTGCTAGAGAATTGAAAAAGAAAGACTATATAAACAAATACTAAAATGGAATCCAAATGAGCGAAGAAAGCGAGGAATACCACGAAGGAGCCAGAAACAAGGAATAGACAGCGAAAGTGGAAATTGGGCATCGGAAGACGGCGGAGGTTCTAAAACCGATTTATATATATAGATTGTTGTCCGGTTCATTTCTAGATCCGTGGACGTTTGGGAAACAAATGCGTTCGACTCCATTTAGCCAACGTTCATTTACGAGCGTCTTCAATCTAGGATGGCCGTCTCCTAATAACCAGCAATATCCATCGGCAATGAATAAAACCCGAATTTAATCCCGAAGTTTAACACTGTCAAACCGAAATGAGAAAGTAATCAATCACGGCGATTCACAAAAAGATCGAGCGACAATGTAATAAACCCGACAGGTTAATCCTTCATATTGTTCGGGGTGAAAAATCTCGCTCCGAAAATTTCCTCCATCTTCTAATCTAATCGTCGAGCACATATATCTTGAAGGGTTTTCTATGAGGGTTCTTCCGGCACAATTGTTCCCCTGAAAGTCGTAGCGTCTCCCTTATCTTGTCGCCATTTTTAACGCTTTACTGCTTTGAGAGAAAAAGGTGTCCAGACACTAATATTAGCTCTTTTATAAAACAGTTTATTACGCCCCTGTTTAACAAATCCTCATCAGATCGTATCGGGCAAGAATTACCATTTGTTTATGGACCCACCACTCGAAATCAACTCTTGCAGTTGTCACCACTCCAGTTTGCGGAGTGAAGTCAACATTTCGACACTAAATAGGGAACGAACCATCCATGCGGCGCTACTGCTCGAATCGCGAGGAAATTTATTTGGTCTAATTAAAGATAACATCAGGATGAACAACGTATTTAGGTTAAATGAAATGAGGCCTGGAGATTGGAGCCATGGCATTAATGGTAGACGATAATAGAGCCCTATGGCAAGTCAAGCTAATGTTTGTACACATCGGAGCGAATGTAAAATAAAACATAATAATTGGAAGTAACTTAAGGATAGTAAACGTTTATATAATTCCCAGAGCGCTAACGAGGGGAACTTCGGGTGGATTCAGAACAATCTGACATTGACCGTAGGATAAACGGTTGAATATGAGTCCGACTCTGTGTAAATAAAACCAGGAGGTTTTAATGACATTTAACGAGGAAAAACGAAGGAAACTATTTCCATGCGCCCAATGCAGAATTTGTGTGGTTTTCCCATGCAAATTCCAGGGCATATTCATGTGGTCTGTTGGAGATGATAAGCAAATTGCACCCGAGATATGGGTATATACATAAGAGCAATTTGAATCCAGAAATCCCTTGCAGGCTGGCAAAATTATCATATTTAAAACATGTCCAACCGCAGTTTTTCCCCAACTAACTCTTAACATTTGATTCAGGTTCGCGAAATGGTTCCCGGCGCCGAGCGCAAACTGAGGGAGCACAAACTATCCACCGAATACTTGATTCGTCACTCCAACCCTCATTTGTCCGGCCATCAACAGTACGACCCGATCAATGTGGAGCCGCACATTTCCCTGGAGCAGTACGAGGTAACCGAGTGCGGCCCCCTTCTGAATAAGACGCCCCCTGATGTGTGTACGACCAATCGGTGCCAAGAGTTTGCTGCCGCCGGCACTGATGTTACCAACGCTGGGGCGTTAGAAATTAACTTTTCCTCAGCTGGGGCCAGTTGCAACTCTCATGCACAATCGCTGGCGGGCCAGACGATACCAATCACTATTAAGAACCACAATTCGACTACACCGCTGAGCTTTTCCCATCTGCCCATGTCCAAGTATGGAACCATGCCCCATCCGGGCGCCACTTTGCACCAGGGGTTCCTCGGCGTGTCCGACATGGGCAGCTCCAGCTCGAACAGCTCGAGTGGATATTGCGGGAAGAGCAAAACGCTGCAGCATCAACGTGGTCGGGTTCCAGCTACCAAGTGCGTGAAAATCGAATCGTTCCAGGTTCCTGAAGCCAACTTCGAGGGATTCGGTAAACAGAGAACGAACAATGCGTTGGCTTATTCGGGCAGTGCGGTATGACAAGAGGATGCTCCTGGGGCGGACGTAATATTCTAAGTTTGGGTCATTCGGAAATGTGAAGTATCTATCATCCGCATATGTTGATTTGCTGCTCGTTTTTTTTCGGGAAAGTGATTGTTTTCATCGGGCCTGGTTCATACAACCCGTTTTACTGGAGCGGAAAGTTTCCTTGTTAGAGCTGCTGGTACCAAGGGCGGATCCAGAGTGTGAATATATTAATAGCTCTCTTATGCCCGGTTTCCGAACTCCAACATATCGGTTACATAAGCTTATGAGTCTCACAAACTACCAAAATCACGTCTGTTGGGTTTCTCAACGTCTGTTTAAAGCTTATCGGTTCCATAAGTTATCGAATAGATATCTACTCGAAGATGGATGGATATCGGCTTCATAACGTCTGACGCAAGCGTGTAGGGTTTG